GTTAACCAATTACAATTATTCTGCAAGTTTTTAGTAGCAATCATTTGCACATCTATTGCCATGGGTTCTTCCTTAGTATATACGGAGGAGAAATAGTTATTTAAAATTCCTGCCTTTTCCTGGTCTTCATTAACTAACACCCCCGTTTCAGTTTTTAGTGTACCTACACTTTCATTTTTGCACGCGTCAGGGGAACTGACAATTAGATTACATGTGCCTTGTTAAAATCATTTTGCACATAGCACTAGACCAAGGTCCCTACAACATTTTTGAACAGGACCCTCTCATTTGCATTAATAGATGCCAGTTCACTATTGTTTCAGCTTTATTAAGACAGCTTGATACAATATCTTTTTACGAACTGTTGCAGTTATGTCACATTGTATTCTTATTATAGATTTGTTACTATACTGAGATAAAACGCTACTTTACTAAGCCCATGTGGATTGCAAAACTTGTTTTGCACACATCACCAGATGAAGGTTTCTGAAAACTTTTGAACAGAACCTCATAATGATCATACACATTCTAGTGATCATCAGTTTATGTTTCTGCACTCTATATAGTTCAGGACTTTTTACTTGATTGTACTTATCTCAATCAGTTTACCGAATTGTACATACTTTAGTTTATCTTTTATTTTTTTTTTGTGTATCAATTTACACATCCACTATTTTACTTTGGCGTATTACCATATACACCTTTTTCTGTGGCTAGTAACTATCACTAGCCATTGTGGACTATTAAACGATCGTTGTAGATATAACCAGTCAGGGTTTCCAAATATTTGGTAACACCATACATTTAGCCCTGTAATTGTCTATTAAGAGGTCCACAGGGTCTCTCTACATATTACCCTGTACTCTATCTATTAGAGATTCACAGGATCTCCTTACATATTTTCCTATTGACACGCTATTAACCAGTGAATAAAAATATGTTGGTTAATCATCATACCTGTGTTTATTAGAATGTGTATATACTTTAGTTTATCACTACATTTTTTAATATAATTTCCATTTAGAATTACTATTAAAAGTTATATTTTAAGGGCATTCACTTTCTCTTTTTTCACGATAATACATTCTCTTTAATATTTTTATTAGTGATATTGCAGAAGGACTTGATGGTAAGGTATGTCTTTTTGCTGATGATACTAAGATATGTAACAGGGTTGATGTTCCAGGAGGGATAAGCCAAATGGCAAATGATTTAGGTAAACTAGAAAAATGGTCAGAATTGTGGCAACTGACATTTAATGTGGATAAGTTCAAGATAATGCATCTTGGACGTAAAAACCTAAGGGCAGAGTACAAAATATTTGATAGAGTCCTAACCTCAACATCTGAGGAAAGGGATTTAGGGGTGATTATGTCTGATGACTTAAAGGTAGGCAGACAATGTAATAGAGCAGCAGGAAATGCTAGCAGAATGCTTGGTTGTATAGGGAGAGGCATTAGCAGTAGAAAGAGGTGGACAATTTCTCCGCATGAGACGGAATTGTACAGAATTAGAGTCTTTTGATCTCCAAGATGAATTTTTAAAGGGACAGTTTATTGAGCGAGGTTACTGTGCTAATGTTCTGGATCAGGAGATTCATAAAATTAGAGCAATGGAGAGAGAGCCATTATTAATGTATAAACAACAAAATCCAGTAGAGAAAAAAGATAAAATACCTGTCATTTTTAAATATAATCAGGAACATAAAGAACTTAAAAGGATTTTTAATAAAAATTGGCATATCCTCCAACAAGATGGAGAGATTTTACCGTATTTGGATGATAAACCTAAACTAATTTTTAGGGGAGCGAAGAACCTAAAACAAAAACTAACATCCAGTTATTTAGAAATGCCTAAACCAAAATATAATTTCCTAACTACGAGTAAAACTTTACAAAAAGGGTTTCACTACTGTGGAGAATGTATGGGTTGTAGAAAGTTCAAAAATAAACCCAAACAAATATATTAATTTAAATCCAGGATTGGTTCTATTAATTTTAAAATAAATTCATTGATTACTTGTCACACAAAGAATGTGGTGTACTTGCTCATGTGCCCTTGTGGACTACAGTATGTGGGGAGAACATCTAGCAGCTTAAAGACAAGGATACGTGGGCATGTTTACAACATAAGGAGAGGTTTTCTAAAGCATAATGTTTTCCTTAATGTTCATGGTGGAGACTCCACGGGGCTTACATTTCATGGAATTCAGATGATTAAATCCCATTGGAGAGGAGGCCATGTCGAATCCGCCTTGAGCCGCTGTTAGATGAGGTGGATTTTTAATCTAGAAACCTTGTCCCCAGGCAGACTCAATGTGGATTTTGAAATGGCAGCCCTCATTTAGTATTTATTAATTTGTGATTTATTTTTTTAATTAATTCATTATACTTTTTACATATCCACTGTATTCCCTTTTAATAATTTATATATTTTTCCAGGATATTATTATTATTAACTTCTCCTTATCTTGATGCCTTAATATTATGCTGTATATACAGAAATTGTTGTAGGACAATATTTATGATATTGCTTAAAGTTTATTAATGTATCTTTTTGTAAATTATTTCCTTTACACAAGCGATATTATATAGACTCTAATGCCAGTTTTAAAAATGGTATCCTAACATGATGGACTTCCTGCTGTAAAATTAATCCGGGTCAGAGAGAGAGCGGCGCAAGAAACATCGATCACGTGGTGACATCGGAATGCGGAAGTGAATGAAATCGGGCGGGAGGTTTAACTTCCGGAAAGGACGAATTTAAGTGATGCTGGGAGCAGTTATTATCTATGCACTTTGAAAAAGACGGAAGTCGAAACGCATTGTGCCTTATTGTATGTTTTTATTGTATTCTACTTTATGCCAGTAAAACTTTATAACCCTATTCATGTGGTTGTGATATCCGTGGTGTGGGGAGAGAGGAGAGAAAACATCCGATAAAAGTCATCAGCGGAAACAGCTTGAAGAAGCTGATCATTTAAAAGCTGTAATAGCTAGAGCCTGCTTTCTAAGGCTCTACATATCGTGAGTGACCCATTACATCTGTGCTATAAGTATTTAATATTTTTCTTTACAGTATTATGCTATGTATATTCTTCTATTCCTTTCAGGCTGATCCAAAGATTTACTGAAAATAAGTACATCACAGTATTATCTTTTGCACCCCCTTCCCCTTGTTTTTCTCACTTTTATGTATTTTTATAAGTGCCTTTTTCTGATTTTTTTCTGCATTTGGGGGTTGTTGCTTTGTTCTACGTTATTAATAGCGCCAATCCACCTATATATATTTCTCTTGTTGCAAGGAAATATATTTTGTTTGTTTTATTAGAAAGAGGGAAGTGCTCATGCCATTGTACAGAACACTGGTGAGACCTCACTTGGAGTATTGTACACAGTACTGGAGACCGTATCTTCAGAAGGATAGTGATACCTTAGAGAGAGTTCAGAGAAGGGCTACTAAACTGGTTCATTGATTGCATGATAAAACTTACCAGGAAAGGTTAAAGGATCTTAACATGTATAGCTTGGAGGAAAGACGAGACAGGGGGGATATGATAGAAACATTTAAATACATAAAAGGAATCAACACAGTAAAGGAGGAGACCATATTTAAAAGAAGAAAAACTACCACAACAAGAGGACATAGTCTTAAATTAGAGGGGCAAAGGTTTAAAAATAATATCAGGAAGTATTACTTTAGTGAGAGGGTAGTGGATGCATGGAATATCCTTCCAGCTGAAGTGGTAGATGTTAACACAGTAAAGGAGTTTAAGCATGCGTGGGATAGGCATAAGGCTATCCTAACTACAAGATAAGGCCAGAGACTAATAAAAGTATTTAGAAAATTGGGCAGACTAGATGGGCAGAATGTTTCTTATCTGCCGTCACATTCTATGTTTCTATGAGAAGCATTAATATACATTTCTATATTGTGTATAGACACAACTACAAAGTTAAACACCAAACACCGTGCCAGACAATCTACCTGTGCATGGCTAGTGTGATACAATAAGTCTACATCTTAAAAATGCAATAACCAACAGAAGATGGGTGAGAATTGTTTTTTGCAAATTGTTTTTTGATTCTAATTTACTACATCGGTCACTTGTAATATTGTTTTACACCTACAACACTTGTTAAGCAGATCTAAGTGATAGAAAACAGATTGATATTTTCTACACTAGAAACTACCAGATAACAAGCTGCTAGATTTAAACCAGTTATCAATAGCTAAAGGATACTTAAACAATATTGTAATTCTGGGGCAATACAAGTCAAACTGAGAGGTCAGTTTATAGGGAAAACTGCTGCCTGAATACAATTCTAAAACAATTTCCATATGTCCTTTACATGCTGGAAAAACACAGGTGCCAACTGCTGTGGCTTTCTGCAGTGTGCAGACCGGCAAGGAGGGCAGGGTTGAGGAGTGGGTGATAGATGATGTGGAGGATGATGAGGTGCTAGACCCCACATGGAATGAAGGTCATGCGAGTGACATATGCAGTTTGGAGGAAGAAACGGTGGTCGCACAGAGGCACCAGCACAGCATAAGAGGGAGCAGGGTGCAAAAGCGGAGCCGCTGTTCCCTAGCGCGCATCGGCATGTATTAGCTCTAGAATTACCACAGTTATCCAAGTAACAGATGGAGCGATCAATGGAACCATAACTGATTTAATGAGCATTCGCAGTTTCACTGTAGCGGCTGTACACGCTTTTGGCATTCTCACCCTGCTGCTGCTTGCCTGTCTGTGCTGCAGCGTAACTTCGGCCTTCCCACTCACCGCCTCATATGCGACGTGCCCACATGGTGGAATTTCACCTTGCACATGCTAGAGAGACTGTGCAAGCAGGAGCAGGCGATGACAGAGTTTCAGCTGCAGCATGCATGGGTCAGTTGCTCTGCACCAGACTTGTCCTCCAATAGATCGTCGTTAAAGGATTTAAAGTGGACTCATTCCAATTACAGGGCCTGGAAAGAGTCCTGTATTGTTATTTATCGTCACTACCTCCCCGCATCAGGAGTGGGTAATTTGCGTGCCTGCTGCCTTCCTTGGATGTGGTAGCCGTTTCTCAGGCTCCCTCTCCGTAATCAAACCCTGATTCCCCGTTACCCGTAATCACCATGGTAGGGGCAGATAGTAACATCGAAAGTTGATAGGGCAAACATCCGAATGCATTGTCGCCGCCACAGTCACCGCCTCCTCAACCTCCTACTCCACATCCACCTCCTCCTCTGATATGTTCCAATATTTTGGGGGCTACGCCAATTAAAAAAACAAAACAAAACAAATAAAAAACAGTGTTGGCTACCTCCTCCACTGCCGCTTCCACCTACAACGCCACGGTCACTGCCTCCTCTACCTATGGGTCACTTAGTATAAACTGTACACAATAGCAGAGGCTTGTGAAGGAATTTTCTCCATGCATCAGGAGTTGAGCTTAGTTTGAACAATGAAAGAGAATACACTGCACTCCAACCCTCTCTCAAATGGATAAATCTGGTGATCCTCCTGACAGCCATGTTTTAGATTTTGATTTATGTTCTTCCAAAGCTAAAATCAAAGATTCCATCTAGTGCTATTTGATGGCTCAGCTGCATTTTTATTTTTTATGTTATTTTAAGTTATTTCCCTATCCACCTTTGTTTGCAGGGCACTTGTCATACTCTAGCTCTTTCCAGGACTTTTTTAGAGGCATTTTAGTGCCCAAAAGTTCGGGTCCCCATTGACTTCAATGGTGTTCGGGTTCAGGGTCAAGTTCGAGCCCCAACTCAAACTTTTTGACGAAGTTTGTCGGAACTCGGAGAACCCGAACATCCAGGTGTCCACTCAACTCTATTAACAATGCATCTACCATTAGTTATATCGTCTGGTTTTATTCAGCAAGAGAGAATACACTATATGGCAAAAGATTTACGTGTTTAAAACAAAATTATGCTGACGTCAGCCCATTTCATTTTCTAGCAATATTTCTGGCCTATGCTATATATGTCTTTTGTAAGCCCATGCGCACTGCATCGTAGAGCACAGTTTCTGGCTTTGCAAGTGTACTGTGAAGCCTTCCTATTGTGACAATACTCTGATGGTTCGCCAAACTGAATGTGCAGATCTGAGCTGTAGATAATGGCTACTAGGCACTAATCCTTCTATTGCAGAGGCAAGGTATGTGGACAGGAAGAACATCCAGGAAGTGCAAGATAAAAAATATATAAATAGGTATGTAGACAAAAAAATTTATATAAAGTAAAATCCAAAAGAGTTACTTGTGCACTATCCCAAACCCCTATGCACCAGTGGTTCCCAAACTTTTTAGGTTCAAGGCACTCTTAATATTTCAATATTTTTCCAATAAGCCCCAAGTCCAAACTTCTAGGTTGTACATCGCTGTAGCTGTGAATAACTGACTCTGCTGGGTTTTGAACCCTGGTTCACATGCTGCTAAACCTCTTCCTCACCAGTTCACCAGCCTGACTCTTGCAAATTTACCTGAGATATGATAACCTTGACTCTACAAGCAATGATAACAGAGACAACTCTCTTCAGCTGTGTCTGGTCAGGTGTCTGATTCTTGACCTATATAAGCCACTTATTGTCTCTGTACATTTGCCAGATTATTGTGGTTCCTGTAATCTATAATCAAGCTTGTTCCTGTTTCTCCTACCTGTTGCTGAATTTGGACCATTTTGACTTTGCTGCTTCTTCTTCCCACTAACCTCGGCTTGCCTCACTACGATTACCATCTTTCTGTTCCAGTTTCTCATCTCTGCTTAAGACCAGATGGCCACTCAAGGCTCAGGGGCTCAACCACCTGTGTAACGAGTGGCTACTTCTGGCAGAAAACATTGCTGATCTGGCTGCTGGACGCCAAACCTTTGTAACATCAATATCATTACAGCAGCATATACTGGCGCTATAGTGCAATTTATAGTGTTGAGGTTTGAAGGGGTGTTTGTATATAGTTTAAATGTTAATACAGGAGTGTGTTTGTGAGTAATGTTTGCGTTTGATTGCAGGTGAGTGTATGAATGTAATGGTCGCATTTAAATGCTGGTATACATTTGTGTGTAGTATTGGTGTTTGAGTGACCCTGTGTTTGTATATCATTTTGGAGTTTAAATGCAGGGGTGTGTTTGTATGTAATATTTATGTTAGATTGCAGAGGTGTGTTTGTATGTTGTACTGGTGTTTGACTGTTTGGGTGTATGCACATACACTACCATATACATACTTACACAGATATACATGCACATTAAGACACAGATACATATAAATACACCAACACATTCACACAAATTCATATAGACACTGACACATATATACGCATAGATACACAGACACACACTGACACATACACACCTTAACACACACATACATCAACATATAAACACAAATGCTCACTGTGACACAGATAAACGCACCCTGACACACACAAACACTGACATATGCACACAGCATGACACACCAATGCACACCCTGACACACAGATTTACACAGAAGCACACCGATAAAACACACACACATACAGATGCACACTCTGAAACACACACACACACGGACACACACACACTTATGCACATCCTGAAACAAACACACACACTCACATACACATCCTGACTCACACAATCTGACAAACACATACAAGTGATATTTTTTATATCTGCAGCCACACTCCTGTTAGCTTGCCTTGTGTGTCCATCTTGATTGAAGTACTGGTCCTGCTGCTGGTTTGTGGGAGTGAGGGGTCTAGAGCAGCTCATCGTGCTCCTTTTTCCCCTCATGCTGCAGCTGCCTCACTCTTCCTCCCGTGCTGTATCCCTGTATGAAGCTGGGAGTAAGTGACAGAATATCATTTTCTCCAGCATGCCGACACAACTGGGGGGGCCTGGTGGTGGTTTTAAAGGGTATATGTATATGTATGTATGTGTGTATATATATATGTATATATATATATATATACATATATATATATATATACACACATGGGAAGACTGAGCCTGGAGTTGTCGGAGGGGATGATCTGGCCTATTTAAACTCAGACTTACCTCCCTACCAAGCCGACAATGATTGGTCACTTCCGCCTCCAGTTCCAGGGACAGTCTTCCACGCGGTCTTCTCCCCTCGAGTTTAGCGGTATTCCTTCCACGCTTCCAGCGCATCCTCGACCCTGTCAAAACGCTCCCGCCGGCCGCAACCACTCGGGCACTCTTACTGTTCTCTGTACTTCTGCTGGCACCCGGAGCAGTGAGTAAAACCTACATGAATTACATTCTTACTCACGAACTGCACCAACTCATATGAACGCCTCTATTAACACTTACGGCTATACTCACCTGAATGACTAGTTCAAACGAATGACCAAACTACCCGAACAGGAAATGGCTTATACTCACGAAATGACTATCACACAAACGGCTATTTCACGAATGGCTATTTTACAAACATCTATTACACGAACGGCTATCATACTAACAGCTTTACAGGAAGGGCTAATACACTTTCGGCTAAAATTCACATAAGACTGAGCTCACGAACATCCAACTCACATTAGAAAACCAGACAATCACATGGCTCTCACGGACGACCGCATGAAACATGCCTCAAACCCACAGAGTCTCAAGGCCACACTACCATCTACCGGCGGAAATCATTCATGACAGCCTCAAGTGTTATGCATTACTAAGCCTACATAGGCACAAATAATTTTATGCTGGTTGTTTCAAGTGGTACAGATAGGTTATATTATGCTTAGTTACTTAGTATCTGGTTAGTGGGAAATGTTATAACTGTGGTATTTGATGTTTCCCATACACTTAGCACATTTTATTTTGTCCTTCCAGATTGGGACTTTTTCTCCCTCACGCAAAGTTTTAATTTCAAATCCTATAAACCATGGTACATTATCAAAACACTATACACCAGGTAACCACGGGGTATAATAAAAAAAAGGGTACCATAACTAATTAATAATGACTATAGGAATTAATTACTCATTAGGTCATAAATTTAGATATTGTCCTTATACGGTATAATTTCAGTACGAACTTCTATCAAAATAAAAATACTATTCCCACCCAGACTGGTACGCTAAATGATCATACGCTCTCGAGTCTACGAACAAACCTGTAAGTTTCAATCCATACGTCACAAACATGACCATTAAGGTAGTAACACCTTCATATGTTTATTATTATTTATAAAATATTTTACCAGGAAAGATACATTGAGATTTCTCTCATTTTCAAGTATGTCCTGGGTCCACAAATCATTGCATTGTTACATTAGGGTACAACAAAATACAAAAACAATATTAATACACAATATATACAAAATTTAACATAGAACAGGCAGGAAATATATAATCAACCATAACACGTGCATTCTGTTTTGAGGTATGTAGAGAGGGATCTCTTAAATGAATTTAGGCTTAGGGAAGATTTTAAATTGTGCGGGAGGTCGTTCCACAATTGCGGTGCTCTATAGGAGAAGGAGGATCGGGCCACTTTCTTTTTGTATTGAGGTAGACTAAGTAAACTGCTTGTACTGGATCGGAGCTTATAGAAAGTGGGAACAGCTGGGGAAAGAATTTTGTTCAGGTAGGGTGGGAGTTTCCCAGAAAAGCTCTTAAAAACAAGGCAGGAAAGATGAAGGGTGCGTCTGGATTCCAGTGACAGACAGTTTAGTTCTTTTAGCATGTCACAATGATGGGTCCTGTAATTGCATTGTAGCACAAATTGGCAGAATGAGTTATACAATGTGTTGAGTTTATTAATGTGGGATTGCGATTCAGATGCATATACTACATCCCCATAATCAATGATTGGCATCAGCATTTGCTGTACAATCTTTTCCTTTAATGTAGGGCTTAGGCAGGCTTTGTTTCTGTACAGGGCACCTAATTTTGGATAAAGTTTAGATGCAAGCTTTTCTATGTGCAGGCCAAAAGATAGATTGGGGTCTAATATCATACCCAAGTATTTGAAAGAGTGGACTGCGGTCAGTGTGCCAGTTTATAACCTCTCTTAAAAAAAATAACGTCATAAAACATAAAGATAAAAGATGCCTTCGCCTTATTAGGTCAAATAAGATAACTCTCACTTCAAATCCCTTAACCCACTAGTTCCAAGACACCAAAACGGTTATTACCCCTTAAGTGAAAGAACTAATTACAAAGGTAGGTATGAAGAAAGTATTTTTTTTTTTAAAGTTTAAATGTCACATACATTGTATAAAGTACAGTTCACTTTTAGGTTCCACAGACAACTGTGTCTATCAGGTCACACACTATGCCACGAAATAAGACCCTCCATTATCCATTTCAGGCACACCCCCTGGTTACTTCTCCTCAAATACTAT